ACTGGGATCGGAGATCAGCCGATCACTGGTCCGGAAATCACATGATCGGACAATTCCCCCTGCATTCTGATACAGTCCATGCGTCCCATGCTAGACCTGGTGCGGTTAAATAATTTGCTGGGTCGAGCTTGAATGCTGAATATGAGGCTTTACGGAATGCCTCGAATGCGTCTGCTAAAATTAACACATCGGTCTTAAGATAGATATCATGATAATCTCCAAAAGTCTTACATCCTGTTTCTCGCCAAACTATCCAGGCAAAGTCATAATCCTTTTGAGATATAGTATAAATTTTCTCATGTTCACATTCTTTGTTTTCACACCCATGCTCGCAATAATTATATCCATCTAAATCGCTATTAAATCCTTACGTGAAGGTAGTTGTGTCTCATTAAATTTCGTTTTGCTATTTAACCATTGATATGGAAATATTCCTTTACGTGTAAGCAATGATAATAAATGAGGTGAGATAAATTTCGACATAATTGGAAAACATTTTGCGAGTTGTTCTGGTGTTTTAGTTTGGCCCTTCTTTTCATCACGTAAGTTTTCTGCCATCTTAGCTAAACCAGGTAACGAAAATTTTAAACTATCAATAAATTGAAGCTGGCCAACTGAGAAGGTAATATATTGCTCAGAATTATTTGCTATAGGCACTATTTTTTCATCCGTCACTTTTGCTATTTCTTGCATTAGATGATGAAAATCGTAGCCACTTCCATTACAAAATAATACCGGAATTTTTATTGTTTCTGGATCGATTCGTAACTTGAGATTACAACTACTATGCATTGCTCCGCGAAACTTTCCTGTAATATGATCATGATCTATTACTCTATTTTTTCCCTCATCTGGTAATTGTGTTTTACAATACATACATTTTTTACGTGTGTTATGCACTTTTTTTTTGTTCGTCATCCAACTTACCTTTAATAATTGATCGTTTTCCATGACATTTTCTATGTGAAGCACCCAAGTATTTTTTAGTTTCAGGATCGAATACACGAATTTTAGTATATCCAGCTTCATGTAATTTTTCTTCACATCCCCAACATTTATTTGCCATTGATATTTTCGCCATAATTTTGGCGTCATTTTTTCACATGGAACTGGATCACAAAGCTTATCTTTAATGACATCCAAATCTTCTTGAAGGTTTTCTAATAAGTCTTTTATTATATTTTCTGATTCTCTATTAATTACTGGCTTTTGTGTAGTTCCATCTGAACAATGTATTGTATATCCATATGAAATTGCTTTTTGCTCTGCTACTTTTACAGTATTTCCTTCATTATCTTTTTTCTCCACTTCGATTTCTTCTGCTTCTAAATCTATATCTATCATATAGGGTTTCATTAACATATTTTTGATATACTTGGGTTTTACATAATTCTTACCCTCTTCAGGAAGAATTAATCGTTGTGGTGCTTTACTTGGTCCTGGACATGTTGGAATATGCTTTTCTAATAATCTAGTCGACTATAAGGAAATCGTAAGCATTTTCGGCAAAAGTATTTTTTTCCATGATGGTTATTCCACTTACGCATTAATCGAGTAAAATCTGTTATAAGTACATAATGTGTTCTAAGTCCTTCAGGTATATCGTTAGGATTTTTTCGGTCATTTAAATTCTCTTCACCTTCTGTTAAGTATAATAAATCTATCATATGCTCTACTTGATAATTTCTTTCAGATATGTAATGGATCTATGTCTACTTTTATTTTTCCAAATGCTTCTATATACACTGGTCTAAATATATTTATAGCATAGTTTGGGTTATTTTCCTCGAATTTATCAACATCATGTAGTGTTGCTGGAAAATTTATACCTTCAAAATTGGCTATGTTTCCATTTCGTCTAAGTCTTCGGATTTCATTAAGATGAGGAGGTTTTTTATTTGTTTTTAATGCTTCCGCTCTTGTATGATATGCACTAATACACCACTTAAAACACTCATTATCATCATTATTTTGCGGGTTAATTAATCCTAGTTGAGGTTTATCCAAAGCTTCTGGTAAAGGTAAATAGTTACTACCACGTAGTGGCCTGAATGCGCTTATCTCGAGAAATACCTCTTCTGCTCGAACAAATGACCATCCTGATTCTTGTATTGCTTCATCCTCAATCTGGTCTATAATTTCGTTATATCCTTTTTCTATAGTTGCATTGATTCGATCTTCTCTAATTATTTCTATAATTTCATGCTTGAATGGAAAAGTTTTATATATAGGTTCTGGCGTTTCCGGTTTAATTTTCTTCATATATGCATATAACACAATTCTTATCTTTAATTCACCCTTTAAAGCTAACTCTCTTTTGTAAACATTAACAATCTTTTCTTCGATTGATTCAAAGAAACCTAAAGCTCATTTTCAGTATAGTATCCTTTTGGTATGAATGCATAGTAATCACATACTTCGCCTTCATTTAATTTTTCGGCTTCTGTTATTCTATTAATATAAGGATCTATAATTTTTTCAAAATAGATGTTGGGATCTTCATCCGCTGTATCATATTCTGAATCGCTTGGTTCACTACCTTTATTATCATCTGACTCCATTAAATCAAACCATTCTTTGTCAGTTTTAGGTATAGGCTTTGATCTAATTTTTTTATTATTTTTTATTTCTGGTTTTGATAACCATTTTATTAATTCATCTATCGTTAAAATTGATTCCTTTTTTTGTTCTTCCTGAGTATTAGAACTTGATCCAGATCCAATATCTGGGATATCATTGGTTAAAAGGTCGACTGCTGGTTCTCTTACCTCTCTTGGCTGGTGCATCGATGAATTTTCATCGAACGAAATGAAATCGTCTTCAGGAATGGGTGCTGGGGCTTGGTTTTGCATCGGAATTGGGTTTTCAGCTGGTGTCGCATTTTGCACCAGGGTTGGGTTTTCAGCTGGATTTTCTACTGGAGCTGGGACTGGGTTTTGCATTAAATGCAAAGCTGATAAACATTGACCTTTACGAAGGTTTTCATTTAAATTCATATATTTATTAAGATTTACCAGTTCTTATTTCTCGATCACAGCCCGAACATTTAAGTATCTTAGTCATAGTAATATGTATTCTGTGTTTTTTATTAATATAACCAGATCTTTTGTTTAAATTAAAATAATTAATTCAGTTATATAAATTTATCGAAATGCA